ACGATCAATAGCGCTTTCCAGTCGGATGACAAAATCATCGGAGTAAGCTTCTGATACAGCGATCGGTTTGACATTATGATGGAACAGGTGGAATCCAATTGAGACATGTTGTCGAGTTTTTGCGAAGGAGCAGGAGATAAGCTATCTATCCCTGAACCGAATGGGTTGGGTGAACCGTTAGATATGCTGCTTAGTGGGGTTTGGTGAACAATATGGCCTAATGTTTAGTGGTTCCAGTGATTTCGATCAAGCCTACACTCAAAATGTAAGACCAAGCCCAGAAGAATTCCAGTCCATATTTGTGGGCGTATTTTGAAAGTAAATATAAATAACTAAAAGGCTCATCACTCGGATTGTGTGACCATAATAACATAAAAACAGCATTCCAAGAAAAGAGGGCGATGATGTTCAATATAAAGAACATCATACTGCATCATGATAGTGCCAGGCCACATGCTGCTTTGGATACACGTCAAACGCTTGCATAAATAGGCTGGAAAATTCCGTCACATCCAACATACTCCCGGACATGGCACCCTCCGACTATCACTTGTTTTTGCCCTTACCAAATGTTTGAAGGACAAAAATGCAAAAATAAAGGAAATATCAAACAAGCACTGGTTCCATTTTTCGCATGAAATGATAAAACGTTTTTGAAAAATGGGATATTCAAACTGCCCTCACGCTGGTAAGAAGTCATTAATATTGATGGCAATTATATTATTTAATGAAGTAAGACAATTTTCCATTTTGTTTTATTCTAAAAAACAGGCACATGTTTCCGGTAGACCTGATATAAAGCAATCAATGTAGTTCTACCCATTAGATGTTATCATTTATCATCTATCACCAACGCAACAACAAAAATACCAGAACATTGGGGTTAGGTTCAATCTCAATCTACGTTTAAAATCTTTATCGATTTTCAAAGCAATCAGAAAATACAGACAACAGTGCCGTCACATTTTCACCGCCTTATTTCTTCCGCATGCTAAAAAAGCTCAATGAAAGCGAAGCTGAGATCAAAATATGTTCCAAGGAAATGTGTGTTCGCAGTTTTATTTTAAGAATATACCAAGTTTTATTATCGTTTCTATCCAATAAAATCGGAATAAATTTCCGTATGCACTCACTCCAGTATTTCTTAAATTCATTGTTTCCTGTCCTCGTTTATTTGTTTAGTGGAAACAATTATCCAATTTACTGAAACAGAATCTCATATAGTTCTGATGCAAATATGAATTTACCTGAGGCTTCATTTTCCTCACTACCGCTTTATGTTATATTATAAAAATATGTACCTCCTTCATGGTTACGTACTCCCAAATTATTGAAAAATTTTACACCAAATATTTTCCTCAGTGAACGAATGAAGTTCATTCCTGACTTGAGAAGACGTCAGCTTCAACTTCAGCCGAGAATATTTAAACGATGTAAATATGATGGCAAATTAGAAACTGCAGTATGTGTCAACATCTGGGATCCGAAGCCTCGCACCACTTCACTAAACTGAAATTCAGATGCATATAATGCGGATATACCTGTCAAGAAAGTCTACCCTGAACGGATGCAACACTTGAGCATTTCGACTATAATTTGGCCTCCCGTTAACAGAAGTTGCTAGCTTATGTTTACATTTAGATGTGAGGTTCTATAGGCTGTTCGATGTATTTATACCTTTTTCAATTTAACATGCTCTGTGTCAATTTAAGATGTATCACATGGACGGAAAATGGATACTGGAACACCCTACCATGAAAACGGGGCATCTGGTGTTCATACTGATATAGTGATCCGGTAGGATTCAGAATTGACTGGATCGTACACAGTGTTATGATAACCATGTATCATGACGGACATCAGTCAATGAGGAGCATTGAGCAAAGTCGAAAATCGGCCGATGATTATTGTATGATACACAGATTAATTGATTATATGTACTGATGTATACAGTTTCTGTATATTTTTATCTGTTTATTTACTTTTAAAACCCGAACAATTATCTCCAAAGTATGTTACTAGCTATTCAGTTTATCTACAGTCCTTATACGCAATTGCGTGTACAGCAAAGAACCTGTGCATATTTGGCTGTACCGAAAATTGATGCTCAAATATTTGAGCTGTTTAATTCCAAATGGAGTTTCTGTTTGCCTTTTGACTTAAAAAAAACGATGTTTTGGTAAACTTTCCAGGTAAGTGTTTTACTATTAGTGTCCTGGCAGTGATAAGAAAGATATGATAGCGGACTCATTCACCTCTCAAACGAAGACCTGATCAAAATAGAAGGTTCTTTAAAAACAGCTTAGATGCCAGTTTTGCACTGTCCTTGCTGTGCTGGGTTGGATAATGTGAGAGAGGCGGATGGAAGTTTTATCTCGGGCGTTCGGCATCACTAACGAGCGCGAAGTTTTTCATGATGTTCAGCCGTTCTGCTAGAATTTTTTCCAAGATGGCAAATGTTGTGGAAGTCTGAAATGAGTTTGGAACAATCCTAAACAATTTTGGACGGGTACGCGCCTCCCGCTTTCTAGAAATATTCCAGACATCAGGTTATCTTCGGGTTTCACGTTCCTTTCTCAGGCTCTCTCTCTCGAATGATTTGACATAACTCACATACTCTCCCTATCCGAGAGGTACCTCCATTCACAATTCCACTTGATTGCCTTCGACCTTGATGCTTGTTTGTAAATAATTGATTGCCAGTTGTGAGTGTTTATAAGTAGTGCCCAAAAGCCTATATGTTTATGCGGAGGGTGGGTTGCGTTAGGAAGAGGGGGGGGGGGGGACTGAAATCATTTGCGACTCTTCATTCAATCGTAAGTATTTGAGAGAGAGAGAGACTGGTCCATCGAAGTTCTCTCATCTGAACTGTAAAACTGCATGGAATCTTCATGGAGCAGCAACGTATGAGAAAGGCTGACCGAGCGGTAGTAACAGATAGTAGGGAAATGTAAGGGGGGGATATATACTGCGTTCAATTGTTGCATATTGTTAAGGTCCTCAACAGTTTGCACAACCAAAATGCACGAAATTAACAATCATTGAATGAAACCTTTCACCCCTTCTAAAACAAAATCAAAGAGTATATTATGATGACCGCGCATTTTCGGCAGACCGAATAAGATAGGCTTATCCCCGGTTATTACAGGCGGTAAAATTTCGAAAGAAAACATTACTGATCTTGAGGAAAAATTATATCTCCGTCAAATTTTGGAAATATGGTCTGAAAAACATGACGACGTCGCTAATTGTTAATAATGAATGGGTACTCAGACAAGGAAAACGAAGGGGTGAAATACTCAAAGTTAGTCACACAAAAAGTAGAACATGGCAATTTGCTCAGATTATAAGAGTAAAAGTTTAACCAGGAAACAAGGCCATGTTCACAACACATTTTTTGTGGCTGTGGAGAATTCGAGGATTGGTGGTATCACAGACATACTTTTTCATACCCTGAGGCGGCTAAGATGTAAATTAACCGGAAACAGTGAGGTTGCCTACGGTTAGGATAGCTGTGTGGGACCAGAATAGGCGAAGAAAAACACAGACCAACAGAATTATTTCACATGCTAAGCACGATTTTGTGAGTCTCAAATTTTCACCTCATTTCGTTCTCACGAGGAATTCGTTATAGAATCAAATGAAAGTCTCCACTGTTCTCAGGTCCAACTTTATCAAATTAGTATAATATGAATATGTGCTCGGTCGACGGCTCATTGCGGCACCGTTTAGAGAGCAGACAGAAACGCACTCCCATCCTGTTCCACTTCTCCGCTCCTTACTAATTTCTCAACACACTCAAACCATCCTCTTGTTCAAGCTATGAGGCTACATCTCTGATCACAAGGGAAAGGAAAACAATTGGATGAAGTCAGGCGCATCGATCACTACGCAAAACATTCCTTTCTCGTTCATTTCTGTTGTTCACGTGTTGATATTGGAAAAATATTGAAATTATTATTTAACAAACCAATTTGCTTTTCCATGTAGTTTTCTGTGATATGGATACCTTGAGCGATACATCTATTGGATGATGTTCACTGCTATATAAAGTAAATTTGGGACCACGTTGAAAGTGATTTTGGAACCATCAAACGGAACGGAAGGGCATGTGGATTATTGGCATAAAATCTGTTTGAGATCAATCTTGTCCTCGACACTACATTGCTTCCTGTTCAAGTTAAAAAAGATGTATACTGCCTCCCCGAAAGCCTGTCACTGTGTCCCACAATATGTTTTTATAAGCAATACGTTCGGCTTGCAAAGGAAAAGTTTTCTTCAAATCACGAAAAAAGACCGTTCTTTCACTCAGAACACGTATCACGGACCATTATATGAATACAATCACTGAAGGAATAAGTTGGCCTAAAAGTGTGGATCCAAATAGTGTCCTGATTTAAAGCGGGTAAACTTTTACAACAGAGCTTAACATTCGGATACGAGTTGCACTCAGAAACACCTCCAAGTCAATTCAAATATCGGTGATAGTGGGGATCTTGGCCATTCATTTAGATCTCTCTCGCTTTCCGTTTCAATCAACCGAGACACTGGAATTCAGGGTACCTTTAAGAAATAACCAAATGTTCCCTTCCAATCTTTGTTCACTACATGCATCAAATCGATTTGTTTTGATAGCTCACAACAAATGCATCCTTTGAAAGCTAGTTTTCATTTTCAGAACGGTCAGAAAATAGCGTGCACTTGTAAAACTAACGCAAGATTGCAACAAACGAGATATGATGATTTGCACAAGGAAGGCCCTTAACCGATGTTGTTCGTACAATAATAAACAAATCACCCCTCAGATGACAGACACGGTGACGCCCACTTTAATTTAAGCTAAAAGTTTATTTCAAATTCCTTGACTGTTGATAAACTGTAGAAACAGGTTGTACCTTTTCTGAAATCTGAACTAACCAAATTGTAATTAGTGATGGTGGTTGTGGTGATAATAACACCCGAAAAAGCTACTCAGATTGGTTGAGAACCTCCACTAAACAGTCATTTTATGAGTCAGATGCGACGGTTTTCGGTGATTCGGTGCAGTCAGTAACTATTTAACAGATCCTTTCTATGTTAATACTTACTATTTACTAATAATGCTTTGAGAGATAACTAACAACAGATCTAAGGACTTCCGAGGTTAGTTATCAATCGAATAAATAAAAAGACGCAAATGACCAAGGGCACAAAATTATGATGACATAGAGGGGAGGATGCGTAAGTGGAAAAGCACATCCAAGTGTAGTTCCAACTCACCCCGAATAAGCTGGCTCATCACATTCAAAACGTTGATTTGGCGTGGTCGTAACCAATCTTCGCATGAGATATTGATCCGATATAATATCAATTCACCATTTCTCGATCCTTCTGGCGGTGGTTGCCAAGTCACAGTGGCTACTCGAGCTCCGATTGCTTGAACACGCACCTGTGTCAGGAATCGATCAGAGAGAAGAATATGACACAATCTGTTCTGATGATGGCAGGAAAAATATCAAGATGGTTACTATTAACCCAACGCAGTGAACTGAGATAAAAGTTGGCAAACTACACTCTCCACATGTGAGTAACAGGGAGAGTGGATTGAACTGATGAACGTACTTCTTAGATATAGCTTGAAAACCTTCTTCACTGATGCAACCGCTGTGGGACTGTTGCGCGATTTCATTGGTCAAGTCGATATGGAACGCATACGTTTTATCAAATTTTCTATTTGACCAGAATAAATGCACTTCTGAAGAACGAAAAACGAACGATCTACTTTTGTGCACCTTCAAATGGGATGAACTGGTTGATGGAACCACGAGATCATTCACCAAGTCCACTGTGTATCACACTTGGAAGACCCTAGGAGCAAGCTCGGTTGAAAACGTATTCCAAGCACGTCTGAATACAGTCTTTGTGCTAAACAAATCAGAGTACAATAATCTTTAAAAAAAGAGAAAGCTACATAATTTTTTTGTGGGCGGAATACCACTAGGTTGCCCAGGCCGTTAAAAACGGGTGACTTTCTTATTACACAAAACAGCTTAGCCATCCGATTTAACTCTATCACATCAGGCAGTCGAATTGACATGGGTGAAGGTTCTTATAAGACATGACCACTAGCTTCGCCGAGAGTGGAAACGAAGTTTTCACCACACCAAAAAATCCTTTATTTCTGGTTCTATGGTCTTAGGAACTGTAGTTATGAATAATACTGCTTAGCTGAAACTTTGGGTGAAAACTAAACAAGTGTTTCACATTATCAGAACTGAGGTAAGTAAAAATAGTTCAGGGGTATGGAGTCTTTTCTAATGATCAGACATATTCACTAATCTTATTATCGAAAGAATTGTATTCATGTACTAAAATCCGGCAATCTACATTTTTACCAAATCGTGGGGGGACTCTTCCATAATTCTTATTTGCGTGTTCACATTTGTCACGTCGATTTTTATACTTCTGCTTGTGCACCGTGGAAGCGTGTTCATATTTCATTCCATTCCCGGATTAGTTTATCTGTCACGTGGGTAGTAACAGAGTTGGGACAGAAGGACAAACAAAGTCAAACTGACATCTGTCATTTTGCAAACAACAGTCGTAATGAGTAGGGAAAATTTGAAAACCCATCTGTCAATCAACGGAAAATAATGGAGTTGTTTTTGCTTCAGTGGGTCCTGTAAAATTTGCCACCATTTGGAAAACCACACCACCGCATATACGTGTCTCCATTAACTCAGTTGATACCTTAGTGATGTGGGAGTGAATGAATGTACCGATTGGTTGCTTGATATTTCGTAGACACAACATGTAAGGAAACAAGTATAACAGGTAATCCAGTGATATCAACCAATGCCGTTAGTTGATCCTATATAAACAAACTGGAGCGAACAAACAAAAATGCAGTGCATACACACATTCATTTCGGCCTGTTTGCTGAGCTTGGCATCTTGTTTGCAAACCTATCATCACCAGCAGAAGTAACATTTTTAGTGTCTGTCAACTACAATTGTCGAATTCAAGTGGGTGAAATAGAGGTTTTCGTTTTGCTTTTACTATGTTTCCGTGTACAAAAATGCTGGTAGTAACTTTAAAATTGTTCTAACCGAATAAAAATACTCTTCTTCGCGGTTTAGTATCAAGTACGAATATAAATTATTCACCAACAGATATCGTTCCCAGAGTCCTTTATACCATGAATTCATTCCAATCGGTTCGATTTGGCTAACACCGCACTCTCCCAGACAGTTTGCAGCGGTAAGCTGCATTCAGAATATACTGAAGATTTTAGTTGAAGTGTTCAAATGAGCATTTTTCATACATCGGTATTCAATAGGGTAAAATGTTCTCTGTTGAAAATTTATATGTTCGTTAAAATGCATTTGAAATTTGCACCCGGATTTGAGGAGCTTAGCAAACTTGCCTGTTTTGCATAGCACAGAATTTGTTCATTCATGTTACTGTCTTATGTAAGCGAAACACCCGAATTTAGTATGATACAACTCGTTTTATCTCTTCTCCCCCCCCGTCTCTCTTTACCTCCCTTCCAGACTAACTGTATTGCGTTGTGAGCAGATGAGTCTATTTATCAGAGCACCAGTTGTATCCATGCCCATAGCGACGGATCAATAGACAGTACTGTTGTGATTCTTAGGTTGCTAAACTCGGCACTTGCCTCCATCCATAGTTCCGTGCTAGCATGCAATCTACTCTATGCAGCGTGCATTTCTGTGTTCAATCGACTTGGCTGAATGTTTCCGGGGAGTCGTTTACTTGACCAAACACGTGTCCGATCGGAGTCAAGATCGTTTTCTGGCAAGAACAAACATTGAATAGATTAAGTTCACCGTAAAATTAGTGGCTTCAACTGCATAAAACCCGCATCAAACACGGAATTTACGGTCGACGAAATCCAAACCACAGCGGTTACGGTAATATTCGTGTTGCGGACAAACAAACACACAAACACAACAAAACAGCACATGGACCGAATAAGTGACACATCCTGTGGTCACAGTGAGCGTCACACACTACACTTTAGATTCACTATCATCCATACTACTACTGTTTGTTTAATTGTCCTCTAAATTAAACGTGTTGAAATGACCTGACGGTAGGCTGGAATATTGAAACGATTGCGAATATGAACTAGAATAAGAGGAGAAAATGTTGTTGAATGAAAGTAGTCACGTCAGTCACAAAGGAAGAGAGCAACAACGGGAAAACTCATACAGCCTTGAGGTTTTAAACTACCACCACTCAAGAGCAGCGAAACTGTTACCAAGACACACAAACGTGACAGAGCTGATGCGGAGCCAACCATATGATGACACTTTTTGTTCACACAGACGGGATGATGGACTGCAAACGCATGTTTAATCCAGTTATTCGATGAAAACAGTGGGACAAATCAGTTTTAATCCGTGAACTTCATGACTATTGGCTTTCATAAGAGGAAACTTGATCACACGAACAAAACAAAGCTACCTCCTGACGATCTCTAAGTATGGCAGCTACCCTAGGTAACACCCTAGATTGAGTTGCCGAAAAACTGCGACCCAATAAGGCGTGCATGGGAATACAGCTGAACCTCCTTGTGAAAGAACATAGTAAGAAGCGCCACCTTACTAAAAGCACCAACGAATATGCAACAAAACATGTGAATAACTTTCTCTATTT